CTCTCTGTAATGTGTAGTTATTAGGGTTGTAATGGTACACGTATTCGTACCGAAAATGTTTGCATGTGTACCGAACAAATAATTAAATTTTCAGACCACAATGCCGTTTTGGTGCTCTTTGATGTGGCGTGACAGATTGCTAAACACATCAATTAAAACAGCAGCACAGAGCGTAAGTTAGCGTGATCGTCCCTTCATCTTTATTACTAGTTATAACACGAAATAAACACGAATGAACATCTCATGTAATCACTCAATCAGTGTTTCAAATCGCAGAAAGACGTGATTAAAACAGATCGTAAACAAAATGTCACAGCATTTCATTTACCTCAGGTAAGTCATGAGTCACAGCTCATTACTTCATGAGAGAAATTAAGTCTAGAGAAGAGCATTTCGCGAAATATTAGACTATACTCTTTATATTTGACTACCTGTCAGTGATGTCTTAATTATTTAATGTACGTTTCAATATATATTTTAATGTAACAAGTTATAACAGCCACTGTCCAAATGATTATATTTTAACAAGTAGAAATTGTATAATTTAGAAGTTAATTTAAAAACAGCATTGTGTACAATTTACATGCTTGCATACACTTTTTTTTACTCAAGTGTTGATTATTATAGTCAAAAATAAATAGTAATTGAATTTAAGTTTGGGCTCGGTTGTTAATTGTAACCTTATAGTAATGTAAAAGGGCTTTCCACAGTTTAGAGCAGAAGCTGAGGTAGATTTTTATCCTTAAGAAAATATTAATTATAATTGAACATATTTAAAGAAAGAGGCATTTAATCACTAAGCCATTGTTTAATTTAAAAACAAAAAAAACAAACAATTTATTTACCTTTCCTCCTGCTATAGCGAAACCATACCGAACCGTGACGTCAAAACCGAGGTACGTACCGAACCATCATGTTTGTGTACCGTTACACCCCTAATATACAGTGGGTACGGAAAGTATTCAGACCCCCTTAAATTTTTCACTCTTTGTTACAAACGGTCAACGGTAATTGAATATAGTATAATAACAACAATAATAATAATAATAATAATAAACAACAACAATATTGACTTAGTGCTCATTTACTCCACAACTATGTCAAGTTTTAACAAGTCCACAGCTGGTGCAATCAGGTAATATGACTTGGGGACTTATGAGCATGGGAAAACTAAGTTTGAACAGAGAAAGTGAATCCCACAGAGATGCATATAACAACACAACCAGACATACATTACTCAAGTGGTAAAGATAGTAAGCCAACTCACAGACCATGTGTATGAGCGAGACTAAATACACTGAGACACACTCAGACTGAGACACTACGGGGGTGTATGTGTGTAAGACGTAGCGGTTTTGAACAAAAAGGTCATTTGTTAAGTTTGGACGATCTGTGAGAGGCAGCTGGGGTGGCACGCATGAGGATGAGTCATGACTGTGTCCGAGCAGCTCTCGCTCTCTCCAAGCTGCCACGCTTGAGTTTCTGCATGTGTTGCCATCAACAGTCCTCTTTCCCATCACTTTACTGCATGAATGCACACACACAAACCGCCTCTGCCCTACTCCACTAAAGCAAGAGATGGACAGGAAGAGAAAGAAATAAACAAAAGCTATTATCTCTTATCAAATTCAACAAAAAAGAAAGTGCATCTATACACATATACAGTATATGAGTGTGTGTTCTGCAGTACACTCTCACACACACTGCATATGCGGTGCACTGTACTGTCCTAAGCCTCTGATTGGCCAAGAAGTTTTCACATCACCCAATCTTCCCATTTGTGGTAAAAACAGTTACTATTACAATAAAACTGAATTCAATTCTGTAGAGGACACTTACAGACTATAGGACTGGAGGGAATAAAAGTTGTCTGAACCTGGCATCCAAATGAGACTGCGTGACCCAACCTGACCAGCACTGTAAACATTTAAAACCCAAACCTGAAATAGTCTTCACAAATCACATGGGCGGTATGACCATTCTTATGCCACAATATGAATACGTTTTATATTACGGTAAGAGTATAAATGCAAATACAGTTTGTATTGCTGGAAATTATATTTGAATAACCATGTGGTGGTAATGCCTATTTCTGGGTAATTCATGGAATTAAATATAATTTCATTCCTCTTTTTATAGAGAAACTGGATGGATTGCAAAGCAAAGGGTAAGATTATTCATTACAATTCAATAAGTCAGACATTCGTTTCATAACAGCTTCACATTACATACCAAACAAAATTAAAACACTACAATTAATATGATATAATATGAGGCATGAACAGTACAGCAATGCTGAAACTGCTGGATGATATACATACGGTCACAATATTATCAGCCCTAAAAACTCATGTTGGGATCTTAGGTCAAGTAGCAGGATACTCCTCTTGTCTTCATTTTCCAACTTTAAGAGATTGAAACTGACAAATTTGATTAATTTCTATATTAATTCAACTATATCAAAGCACAAACACTCGCAGATGCTTTCGCTCTTTCTGTAGCAGCTTGCTATGTGTGCTTTAGGAAATCCAAAGCCTACAGTCTTAATTCCACTTGGTGGAAACCTCAAAAGCAGGAAGTGTGTGTGGAAGAAACATGCAGCCTCTCATGCCAGTTTAATTATGTGCTTCAGATCATGAGAGATTAGAGCCAGATTGAGAGAGGAACAACTTTTAGGATGCAGTTTAAATTGGGCAATACAAACACAATGGCCTTCCACTGCACACACAGATGCATGAATGGAGAGCGGGACAAAATAAAAAATAAAAATAAAGGAAAAACAAAAGCGCTGATGGTTCTACGCACTCCTTCACACAAAGCCTGAAATATTGCACAGACTAATCTGTTTTGTTATTTGGATACAAGGTTGATTTTTAATCACTTGGCATCCAAATATCTCATTGCAGTGTCCAATATCCCTTTTTTTTTTAAATTTTATAAGAATTATGAAATTTTGCACTCACATTTTGATGAGAACATCTGTTTTTATCATGTTGTTGAATGCATCACACTTGATGTTTCCTGCACCATTTGGCCAATGAATTTCAAAGACTTTACTTTAGCAGATAATACTTCATATTTTTGTACATCTTTCTCTTTTTTAACATTATATATTTTTAATCAATATTACATATATTTAAAACTAAAAATATTTTTCAAAAAATGAAAACATGTATTCACCACATAAATTAGAATCGACAAACATTTATTCACTGTAGAAAATATTTATGAAATAAAAAAACTATAATCAAAAAAATGGAAAGATCATGGAAAGTAAATTTTTCTATACATATTATATTTTAAATATATTATCACATTCTAAACTATTAGGATTCACTGTAGAATGTTCTTTGTGATGATGAAAAAAATACTTTAATAACTTTGAATATAAATGTTTGTCTTACAAAAATCAGAAAAATGTATAGTAGCCATATAACCTAAGAACTACTAGAAACGCTAAAATTTAATGAAAAATGAACAAAAAATGATCGTTTCTAGCTTATAAAATGTTTATGAGCCAAGAATTAAATTAAATTCACTGTAGAAAACAAAGCTTAAATTTATTTTTTCATGAGCATCTTAAAAGCACATCTACTGTCCATGAAGATGGACTGGCACTCTGACAAACAAATGAGACTTCACACTTTTTGAGTGGATCACAGCCTACACTTTTCCTTAAGAATATTCATTTTCCATAACAGGTGAGACTTTGTTTCACTGTGGCCGATGGAGGTCATTAGGACTCTATCTTTTTTATTTTCCCTGCTTCATGTCGCTTTTGTAATTCTCAGCAGTAGGTCCCTGTGTCCAGTCTTTCTGTTAGCGGTCAACCGATATGGGTTTTTTTTTACTGGCCGATGCCGATATTTAGAAATCAGGGCAGCCGAAGCGCAGTGCTCAGTTTATTCAACAAAGTATAAGCCTTTTGGAAAAATTATTTACTATGTATGGGAAACACTGGACACTGCTATAAGTCAAATGGCCAAGCGATAACAAAAATAAAAGAGTTCACACATATTACACAGCTCGCTGCTCATAACTGCTTAGAGTGCACTGGCCACAAGCGATGACATCGTGGACGCTATTGTTGGACCTACACACACATTTCATGAGGAAAGTTAAGGTGCACGTTATAATCAGCCCCGAAGTTTCGTCTGAATTTCATGTGTTTCTACTTTCACATGCAAATGACTTGTTGCACTTATGAATATGATAACTTTCCGGTATCAATTCTAGTAGAGTAAATCGTAATTACACTTTCGAAACGGTCCGTTTTGCCATGCCATCATTAGCTGAAGCTGTGTGTGAACAAGCAGCGGCTGCAGAGTGTGAGTTGCTTTGTCTCTCGCGCAGCCAGAGAAAGATTCTTCAGTGTTCCACAACAACGCTTAGCTGCCCGCAGATGCGCCTGCCTATAAATCGACCTAATTTGCAGCACAATCGGTCGATGCTGATTAATTAAAAAAATGCCAAAAATCGGCCAATTAATCAGCCAGCCGATCAATCGGTCAACCTCTACTTTCTGTAAAGTGCAGGTTAAAATTAGGCTCTTAAAAAAGCTCCTCTAATTAAGCCCGACTGCACCTCCAACCTCTTTCACACAACATTAATAGAAACAGCACCCGTACAGCGTCAAGCACCCCGAGGAAAAGGTAAGAATAGTGTGCAATCATGTGATTTCCTCATAAAATGTCTGATCCATCACATCTGCGGTTCCTCAATTTGGACGTGTAATTTCTGTGACCATTATTCATAGAGTAACTGAAACATTCAGACATCCATTCTCTGAACATAAGACAGAAAAAGGTGTGCTTGAGTATCTCAAGTGAAGACAGCAGTAAAGACACGGGCAGATAGTTGTCACAAAATGACCAGCGAGACCAAATATCACAGGCACTGTTATGTCAACTACAGAAATGGAAAGTCTAGAAACAGCTTGTGAAGACTAAGGCGACAGAAACAGGCTCTAAATGACAGGTACAGATATGAAGGGGCCTTACCTCTCTCTGAAGAACCAGCTCTTTGGTGAAGATTGTGGCTTCGTCACTGTACGGCTCTGCCACCTGCATCCCACCTGGCATGTTTCGAGACCCTCGGGGACACTCGATACCTGCACACAGAAACATAGTGCACATCTGTCACATCTATTTTGGTGAGCTCTTTAATCCCTCATGTTTTTGTTTGGTTTGATTATTCAACTTATTTGTGCAACATTCAAAAACTCTTACATAATGCATTACATTGTTCCAATTATATACAATATAACATACTAATAGTAAATGTAAAAAAAGTATGCTTCTGTTTATGACAGACTACTGTTATAATCAAACATGAATAATTTTATAAATATTACACATTTTTAATTTCAGAAAATTACATTTATGGCTCCATTGACTGGAGAGTGAATAAATGTTGTTAAACACATTGTGATGCTAAATCTGTAAAATGGCTTCTGCAGAACTTTGTCTCACAATGCTCATTTCAAAATGATTGACACAATGTTCTATTATTAACACACAAACAAAACTGAACCCCAAGCACAGAAGAACAGACCTGGGCTTTTTCTTATTAGCCTTACACATCAATATAATTGATAATGTAATGAACTACAGCAAAACATGCACTCACAAATGTGCATATTAAGATTTGGCACAAAAGGTCACCGCTCTTGTTATCATGACAGAATTTCCCCTTCATACCCTCCAAAAAAAATAAAATAATAAAAAATAAAAAATTAGTAGCCAATCTGCATTATCCAGCTCTGAGAAAGGAAAGGAAAGAAAGAAAAAAAAAAGACTGAAACAACTCAATTATCTGGTAATTGTCAGTAAATAGTTCCAAAATTAGCATTTATATTGCTCCGGGCATCCGATCTGCTCAAAGGCAGAACACGATTTCTGACAATAACAGGAGTATTTTCGGGAGACGGACATTTGTAAACTGGTTGAAGAACACATAAGATTGAAGAGCACTGCATGAGAAACAAGACTGAAAAACTATTAGGAATGAATCGGTCTCTCGTTCTCAAGTGATCAGATCAGAATGCTAGTCTTAAAAGCACAGACCAGTCTTAAAAATTGCACCTTGACAGGCTCAGTCAAATAACATCTTTATCTGCTTTCAATAATACCGGCCTATCAAGCCTTGACCTCTTTGTTAAAGAAATCAGTTTATACAGAGATCTGCGCATAAACATTATCTACAGAGCGGCTGCTATAGCCTCTCATCAAAACAGCATTCAGAAAATCAGAGCAGCCGATGAAATTGCAGCCTTAGGAGAAATATTTGAAACCCTATTTGTAAAAAGATTCAAGGTTATGATAAAAATGTCTCAAACTGTTTTTTCTTCTGTTTCCGTGAAGCTTTCAATGAAAGGAGCTGCACGTGTAAGTGATTTTCTCTTGAACAGATGTAATGACTTCTAACCGTCAGAACCTCCTTCCGTTCACCTGAAAAATGGTGTTTCACCACAGGGCACAGGGCTTCAATACGCATACTGAACAAAACACAGTAGTTCAACCTGTTCAACCCTTACTTCCTCAATTAGAACGGAACTATCAAACAATTGTTAGCCTTGCTGATTCAGAGATGCCACAGGGTGAGCACAGACGTCCATTTCAAGAAAATGTTTGGACGGATATTTGTTTGGTATGTGTTACGCAATGAAAATATTTACTCAGACTAGGGCTGGGCAATTTTCCCGATTTTATCAATTAATTCGAATTTATTGCTTTGCCACAATTTTATTATTTAGAAATCGAGGAATCGTGATTTTGAATAGAAATATTACCAAATGTTAGAATTAGACACTTTGACAATATGCCGGTGATAACAGTAAAGAGAAAAGAATGATACAACCACATGTCGGCACACGTGATTAACCGCTCACGTGTGACACGCTCTGTGAAGGACCATAAACTTAGCTCTAGGCATCATTAGCTATGTTTCCATCACCCTATTTCAATGCGCACTTTGAAGTATCACATGAGAAACGAGTGATGGAAACACCAAATTTCGAATAAAAATCCCTTAATTTGCAAAAAAGTTTACACGTTTGCTTGAGATGGTTTTTGACTTGTGCGAAAAAGGGTTGATGCGAATAATGGGAGATGGAAATGCATTTTGCGAATAAATTCCTCCAAGCGCATCAAAAAAGTCATGTGACTTTACGCTATGGGACGGCAAAACCTGACTAACCAGCGGACCGATCTCATTCCAAAGCATCTGAAATGTTATGGTCATTCGGAAATGCACGAGCAAAGTCTGTCATCAAAGTATTTCTGTATAATTGCCTCCCAGAAATGTCTTACACAACTGCGTTCCCAAACAGCAGCATCCACCTCCGAAAGCAATGACCGCATTCATTGTGTTTTGTCTGCTCACTCTGAGGCGCGATTATATATGAAAATTATTATATTCTCCTACTTTTCTTAGTGATTTATAGTGCCAGTTTATCAGGAAGTGACGATTTTGTTCTCTTTGACTTGTTGGATGGAAACGATGCTTGTTCGCAAATGTTTTATGCGATATTCCAGTTTTGCGCACAAGTTAAATTTGCAACTTTGGATGGAAACCCAGCTATTCACACAGCGCTTTTGTTTTGACAAAGATACGACGCAGGCAGTGGAATAGGTTAAACGTGCAAGAAGATGGAAGTGAACTTTTTAACTTCAGCTCAGTGTTTTTAGAATGGCGTTTCATGCATGAGCCACTGTAAGAGATGCAAGCGCAACAGTCAAACACATCCATGTTTACACAGAAAAAACAATGGAAAAGCAGCGCAATCGAATAAAAAAAACCTGTAAAGAACTACTACTGTATGTCTGATATTTCATGTTTACATCATGGTGACAGGCTGAAAGCTGCTTTTGTTTTTAAAGAACATTTATAGTTAAAAGTCTACTGGTGTTATACCTTCAGTCATTTTGAATTACCTTGACTTTTGAGATTTTCTAAAATAATTTCTCGTATTATTTCTGAACACAATATGTATAAGACAAGTTTGTACAATATGTAGTTGTAGTTTTTGCATCTTTTCAGCAAAGATATTTGTGATATAAGTGATTTGTTTAACATTTACATCATATTGACAACTTCATGTGTGCTGCACTTGGAATATAATTTTTTTTAAAGGGGTCATATGATGCGATTTCAATTTTTCCTTTCTCTTTGGAGCGTTACAAGCTCTTGGTGCATAAAGAAGATCTGTAAAGTTGCAAAGACTAAAGTCTCAAATCCAAAGAGATATTCTTTATAAAAGTTAAGAGTCAACCAGGCCTACCTAAAACGGCTCATTCTAACACGCCCCCCCACATACCTACGTCACTATCTGGGAAGCCATTGAGGCCATTCTGCTCACTCTAGCTCTCCCTAGATCACAGATGCAGAGATGGTTTTATGTTTACGCGGCGTGATGCAAAGCAACACGTAAAAAGACAGTATAAGTCATTATAATCCATAATTATGTCCCCACTGGATGCAACGAATGCCTCGTTTATAATGGGTTTTCATGTTTTTGAATCATCGCCCCGGCCTGACAGGGCATCATCACAATATGGTGAGGGGCGTAACATTTCCGTCACACGCTTGAGGTATTCGGCCAATCATAACGCACTGGATAGCTGGCACAGATCACAGCACACCTTGCTTTTCAGACCGATGAACTTTGTAAAAATCGACGCGTTTCAGAAAGGCGGGGCATAAAGGAGAAACAATAATGAACAGTATGTGGAAAATAATGTGTTTTTTGAACCTTAAACTGCATAAACACATTTCATTACACCAAATACATAAAATAATGTTCTTTTTTGCATCATATGACCCCTTTAACTAGAGGGTTAATAAAGAAAAAGTAACTTGAATCATGAATTTTCAAGTTGACTAGTTAAAAATCGTTAAAAAAAAATAATAAATAAAAATCGAGAATCGGCCAAACATTCTGGAAATATCGAGATTTAATTTATTTGCAAAATCGCCCAGCCCTAACTCAGACCAAAGAACTCGAAAAAAGATATAATGTAATTTGTGGCTGTGTGTGAACCTGTTTCAGGATCAGCCTGTGCCAATTAGGCTGACTGTGATCATTTCCAACGGTAGGAATGTTTTTTCCTACTGGAAAAACAGGAAAGCAAAAACATTTTTAACATAAAACAGAAAAGTAAATATAGAACATGTTCACCAGGCTTCCCTTGTATCTAATACAATACAGTAACACATAGGGGAAAAAAAAAAAGGAAAAAAAAAACCCTTAATTATAAAGACAAAAAGACAACAGAAAAAAGTTATTTAAAAAAAATATATAAAATTTAGAGATGCACCGATTGCAATTTTCTTGGCCGATTCCGATTTCTCTTTAGTGTGATCTGCCGATACCGATTTTTGCCGATTCCGATTTTCTTTCTAAGAACTATAATTGACAGTATATACAAACAAAAATCGACTTTTCTTCAACGCAAAGTTTTATTTTCATTAAAAAAACAAGTAAAAAGTCAGTAATAAAATAAGAACAAATAAAAAATGGCAAACAACAGCACAAATAAATGCAATAGAATAAAGAGAGCTATGAAACCAAGTTTTTCAGGTTAAGTCTTTATTCAGGCAAGAAATACTACAGAAATTAAATTAATCAAATGTAAAATAACGCATACAGTGTTATTTTAGATTTGATTACTTTAATTTCTGTAGTCTTCATTGTAAAAATTAAATACAGATTAATGCTTACCATTAAAGTTATAAAACGTATTCAGTCAAGAGCAGAAAATGATTTTCTTTGTCTTTTGTTCTTTGATTAACATGACAGACAACAGCAGGAATATTGGACGCCGGACCCTTTAAGAGTTTATCCACTGAGCCAATATACTGTAACACAACATGCATTCTCTTTCTCAACTATTTAACGTTCCAAAACTGACTGTGTTTAACTGGATACTCGCCAAGACGGGCATTTTGACAATTTTGTATGTATTCGAAAGTTTTAGCGCAGTTAGCCACTCATTTTGGTATTTGTGGCTCACAAGCTGTTTGAGACTGAGCGTGGATTGTACACTCCACTAATATAGATCAGTGGTGGTGCACGCGTGTTTGGTATAAGCACGAAACCTGCGGGAATGA